AAATCACTGAAACAATTTGCTAATCTCAGGTTACAAGATTTTTTAATATAATTCTGTGAACTATGTCCCCAGCGTCATTTAGAATTACTGCCTGAAACAAGTCATTATTACTTTGGTAATTGGAAGTTAATTTAACTTAATCTAATGTAAACACAAAGCTAGTGAGACCTAATACAAAACTATAGAAAGATAATTTAAAGAATGGAGTCTTAAGTGTTTTGTTTTGAAATAACATTGCTGTTTTTGCCAGTAACTAATTGGCTATTCTTGGCTGTAACAACTAAGATGTCATTGACCTTGAGATATTTGTACAATTTTAAGGGTGACTACTAAATTTTATTGATTTGAACTTGGATTGGGAGGTTCCTAGTAGACTAATAATAATCTTCAAGTGTGATGGTGGCTGGAAAAAGAGAAAAATACCTGGAAGTGCAGATTGAGACATCTACCCAGCTGACTACAGCACATGGTAATTGTGTATAGTTACCTGATTTTTCATTACCCTGAACCACCTAAATAAATATTCTAATGTTAACATAATCACATTAACAAAATTGTAAGACAGAAAGTAGCCATCAGGCTCCTGTCCAGATGTTTGTGTGGGTTGCAGAATTGGATGGATAGAGAATAAGATACAGTGTTACAGTCTTAATCATCAGCTACTTATTTCCCCATGAGGACCACTTTCCTTTGTAAATTTTTTTATTAATTAAATCTGTTCTTTAATAATTTCATGCAAATGCATGATGCATTCTGATTGTTTTCACCCCACTCTCCTTCTCCCTCCTTCCCGTTTGCCCTGTCCCTTGCTTTTATTCTTTACCCCATATTCATGCCCTTTCTGTCTTTTTGTTTTCCTTGTGTTCTTCTGGGAATGACCAGGGTCATCTATGTGGACTTGAGGTAGGAGCTGTGTTTTGGATCCTGATGGGTCCACACTGCATGCAGGGCTGAATTTTATCTACTCAGAACTAACCTCATCCCAAATAGAATAACTATCATCAAGTAATCTGCCCAGTGTTAGGACACAGGAAAAGAAGAATTCTCATTCACTGCTGGTGGGTTTGCAAATTAATTCAGACATTATGGAAAACCCTCAAAAAATGTATTTAAAATTAACTGCCACATAACCTGACTCTTCTACTCTTAGACATCTACCCAGAGTATTCCCTATCCTACAGAGTTATTTGCACATCTGTGTTAATTGCTCTGCTATTTACTATAGCAAGGAAATACAACAATCTAGATGTCCCTCTAGAATAATCAGTAATGAAAATGTATGCATACAAGACGGAATACTACTCAGCTATAAAGAAGAAAATGAAGTCATGAGATCTTCAGTAACAAAGTGGACTGAGAATGTATATTGAGCTAGGTCAGTAAGTTTCAAAGGAAATTTCCCCATTTTCCCTCCTGTGGATCATAGCCTATATGTAAGTAGATGTAGGTGTAATGTAACGTTTAGGAAAGAAACCATGAAAGGATAATATTATGCAAAGATAGAGGATGAAATTCAAGCAAAAGGACAAGAGTTGTGAAAGAGGATACAAAGTACAAAACTAATTGTTTCTCTAGACTCAGCTGTGTGTCCACACCTTTTTGCTCTCTCTCTTATTAGAAAACAAACGTCTAAAATAAAATAATAAATAGATAAAAAAACAAATAAGTAAACAGAAAAAAGGAGCCCAAGAAAAAGTAAAAGAAACACATATAGACTCAAAGACACATATTTGCAAACATAGAAATCCCCAAAAAAAAAAAAAAAAAAAAAAAAACCCACAAAATCAGTAAAGCAAAAGACCTGTAGGGCTTAAATTAATGAACTTAGTGTTTAGCTCAGGGCCATTTAGGCTTCCTAACTAACCACTATATAGTATTAGACTGTGAAACTCTGCCAGCAGAGATGTTAGAATTGGTATGATATTCTGCTGTGCCTGCGAAGCCTAACATAGTTACCGTATGTGTAAAGGAACTCAGTAATTCAGTGAATGGGTTCTCTGTTAGACAAAATTTTGAAGTAGAGTACACCCCCGTTCCCACTTATGTCAGTCTCAAGATTGCATTAACTCTGACTTTATAGCATGAAGATGAATTGAGGCTAGAAAACAGAAAAAGTTAATACTATTCTCTTCATTTTCTTGTTACCTTAGAATATCTTTTCAGTCTGTGTAACATTCAGTAAGGTGAGATGCCTGGAAGTGTTTAGAGTAAGATGGAACTCCAAAAACATTGCAAGTGGTTTCAAAGAGATGGAAGATCAAAATGTTGAAGAATAAACTACTTAAAATTTATATTTATATATATATATATATATATTATACATTATATAATATATATACTATTATATATACTATTTAATATATGTACTATTTAATTCCTTCCCCTAGTAATATGATAGTTGATCCAGTTTTACTAGACTTACATTTAACTACCCAGAGAGATACTACCCAGAGGGAAAATGACATCAATTTAAGTAATTGCTTTCAAACTGAAAGCTTAAAACACTTTTGTTTTCTCCAATTGCTAGGAACAAATCCTAGTCATTGGACATGTTAGGTAAGTGAGCTACGTTCGATCTCAAAGAAAAATATTTTTGAGTTTAGCATATTAGAAACTTAAGACACAAATTCAGATAGATTATTTTAAAAATATGTCAGTAGGAGACCAACTGTGTTAAGAGAAAAGCAATAAATAATTTAAATATAGGCATATTAGTGGTAATGGCAGATCTATACATCCATAAAAATTACCAGTGTGCCTGCTAAGTCTCCTTTCAAGAAATTATGTTCAGACTAACTTTGGAGACAAGGACACATTATACGAGAAGGAAACTTACAGTAGACATCCATTATCATTCCTCTGTGGTTTTGTCCCTTTGGTAATCCATCATAACAGACAGGAAGTTGAACTGCCACACACAGAGATTATCTGGGATTACATTGTAGTCAGCCTTTCTCAAAAAAAAAAAAAAAAAATCAATGGAATGTGCATATATACATACAGTGAAAAGAATTATTTGAAGAAATTGGCTCCCATGGTTATAAGGTTTGCCTAATTTGTAGTCTGTCACGAAGGGCTAGTATGCTGTGAATCCAGGGAATAGGCGATGCTGGAGATTGAGTCTGCAATCATTCTGGAGGCAAAATTTTTTTGCTTTAGGCCACCCTGTTCTTTTTCTCTTTGCTTTCAACTGAATGGGTGCAATCTGCCCATTTGTAGAGGGCAGTCAGCTTTATTCAGAGTTCTCATATAAATATTCGTCATTAATATTTTTAAAAATGCCTCCATGATAGCTAGACTGGTATTTATCAAATATCACAGATGAATTGATACTGCCTTCCATTCTGCCTCATAACTTGGTGTTATTTCTAGTTTTAATGTGAATCTTTTTTAATGTTCTTTATAATACAGTCTTATTGTTGACATACAAAGAAAAAGTTACGCATGCTTCATTAAGTATATGGCTTTCTTAAGTAACTCAATGATGTATAATGTTATTAATTTGAAATTTGTGATCACCTGCAGCTCATCAAAAAGAATTAGCAAAAATGCTGAAAATAGAATGTAGTCCAACAGTATTTTAGCTACATATCCACTTATAGTCTTTTGTTCCTTAACTTACCCACCCCTTCACTATAAATGCATTTTTAGAGCTAATTTTTCCAAATATTTTCATTATGTCAATATTAACATAGGATAACACATGTTCAGTAAATTCAATTACTTCTTCCTTTTAAATAAAGGACAATAATAGTTTTATTGCTTGATCTGTTAATATTAATTTTGAATGTTAAAGAAATTGGCATTCTAGAACATACTTGTAATTGCCACACTCAGGGCTGAGGAAGGAAGATTATGAGTTGAAGCTCATGCTGGGCAAGATGCTAGCTGATTGAGAAGTTCTAGGTCATCTTGGGCTATATAGCCATATCCTGTCTTCTTTAAAAGTATATGTAACAGACATTGCTTAAACATTAAATAGATTGTCTCATTTTGTCCTGCTTGTCCCCTATCACATTTTTAAAGACAGATCAGTGGATTTTTATTATTTTAATCTCTCTAATTTCAAAACTCATTTTTTTATTATTTTATATAACAAAGTCCAATTAAATGAAAACAAACATTTATACACAATATTTGGGAATTTGGGTGTCGTTCTTTCCAAACTACTTCCTGCTGGTAAGGGGCGCTGTCATGGGGGATTCGAATAAGATTCAGATATCCTGGCTGTAGTCTGTAGGGCTGTTTTGTTTAGCTGTTTTGAATGTAGGATCACCTTGTACTATGTCAAAACTCATATTTTAATTAACTTCTTATTTAGACTTAAGGGTTGGGACCAACAAAGGCCATTGTCTACTACCTAGAGCCATATTGAACTTTATTATGAATAAATTTGCTGCCTCATCTGCTATTTTTGGAAATGAGGAATGCTTGCATACAATAAGAAAGTTTCCTGATTTAAAGAATTCTGTATTATTAATTATCTTTGATTTGTTTAAGTGATTGAGACAAAGTGAAATCCAAAGATAGATACAATAATACTGATTATTGGGAATTAATTTGAGCTTTTTTTTTTTTCATACAACAATCGTTCTCAAAATGTATTATATGGTTTTCAGACACTTTTAGGGTCTTTTCTAGGGAAAAAATATTTTCACAATAATAAGTTGCCTGGTTTTTGTTTGTTTTAACTTCTATGAGAATAGTGTCTTCAGAGTGTTTCTTCATGCTAAGAAATACTACAACAGATTAAATGCTCAGCTAGTGGAATTCACTATATGGCAGATATTAAAGACAGTTCAAGAAATAGAAAACAAAGCCTTACTTTTTACAACCATTTTGACAATTTTTTATTTGAAGTTTATTTCTGTTTTGCCATAGAATGCATAAATATAACCAACCTCAACAGCATTTCTTCAGTCTTCCTTCTAAGACAAGAGCTGATAATCTTCTTCTCATATGTGAATCAATTTGCTTTTTAAGTGTATTTCTGTTTTCAGGTTGCTTCAAGCCTCAGGAAAGATCAGATTACTTGATGTTGGCAGCTGCTTTAATCCGTTTTTGAAGTTTGAAGAATTTCTAACTGTTGGCATAGATATTGTACCTGCTGTAGAGGTATGTGGTTTTATTTACAGTCTTGATTTTTTTTCTTTTTACATGCATCTTTAAAAAATAAAAATGCACTATCTTTACATTCTTAAAATAGCAGGTATACATTGGTCTACCAACTAGTAAATTATTTCTATTCAAAACTAAATACAGGTTCTGAATCTTTTTAACATTTAGCTAACTAATATTGACATTTTATTTTCTCTGTTTTATTTCTCCTTTATATCTAGAAAGCCAGAATTTGGAAGTGTGCTATCATTGTAAAATCATTGTGATTTTAAAAATCTGTAGGTTGCATAGATGTCTTTGTAACACCTTTGTTACAGGGTAAAACAGTACAGAAGGTAAGTGTATTGCTTAGGATCCATAGTTGTTTGCTCTGAACAACCTAGATTCTTCTCAGCCTCCCATCTTCCTGAAGGGGAGCTGAGATTCCAGGTGTCTGCATTGCTTTCTATGTGTGTTCCAGGGGCTCAAACTAGGTCATCAAGCTTTCATGGCAAGCCGTCTCCCAAGTAGGAAATATTTCTTTGCTGTATTTTCCTCAGCCATTTGATGGTGTTGATTAAATTTAATGTGTTATTTGTTCAAGGCAGGAATTAACTTTTGAGTAGAATAAAAGTTGTATCAGTATCATTTTTAACTGTTACTGAACTTTAAAGAGTGTCAGCATCATTCTTTCTATCCCGTATTATCTGTCAGTTACCTTTCTGTCATTATGACAAAGTACTTGACAAAGTCAAATTTAGGAGGTAAAGTTATTTTAGTCTCAGGATGTCAGGTTTTAGTCAGCAAGCTCACTCATTCTGAGCCTGAGGCAAGGCAGACTCTCCTCAGATACAGAGATAGAGATGGAGATAGCAGCATCTGTTGCTTTAATTAGGCTTCACCTTGTAAATTTTCTGTCACCTGTGAACCAATCACTAGATCAGTCCACTAATGTGGTTAGTTTTTTTGTTTAGTTGCCTCCCTTACTCCTGACATCCAGGATATGAGTTCTAGTAGCTGGTTTGCAAGCCTTTAGCACACATTCTTTGACAGACATCTCAATTACAAACTGTATAACATTTACCAACTCTGATAATCTCCTTACAAGTGTTCTTGTTTTGTTGTTGTTGTTGTTTATTTATTTGTTTTTGCTTATCTGGCTAACCGTTGATAATAAACTAAATATAAATATTGCTACTGTTACAAATGAATCATTCCCATATGTTCTTACTCAAATTCTAAATAAACATCAATTTTAAATAGATGTTTTAAATGTTTCCTAATTTTGAGAGTGTGTGTATTTGTTTGTATCTATAGAATGATGATTAGAAATTTGGAGGACTTAAGTAGTCAAAATTTTTAAGTTTAGTTGAGCACAGGACATGGTGGTACATATATAGTGGTATACACATGCATGGTGGTACACATACTTGAAAGGAGGAGACGGGTTCAGGACACCTGAGTTAGCCTTGACTTTGAAGTTTGAGGCTACCATGTACCACAGGAGACTTTGTCTCAAAAAGAAAAAATAATAGAAAGAAAGAAAGGAAAATCTATATAAAGTTAGAAGGAAAAGGTAGTCATTGCTGAATTCTGTTGAGAAGCTGTGAGATGTTAAATATTGTGGTGTGAAACACTTATTATTAGGGTGAGCATATTGAAATTGTTTTTGTTTTCTTTTCTGAGACAGAGACTCATTATGTCACCCAAGCTGGCTTCTAACATATACAGTCCTGAGTACCAGGATTATAGGCATGCATACAACACTGTTTGAATTCTTAATATGTCTTTGTTGTTGTTTTTATTTCTACAGAGTGTGTATAAGTGTGACTTCCTGAACTTGCAGCTTCAGCAGCCTCTCCAGCTTGCACAAGACGCTATAGATGCTTTCCTGAAGCAGCTGAAAAATCCTATTGATTCTCTTCCTGGAGAACTTTTCCATGTGGTTGTTTTCTCTCTCCTCCTTTCCTATTTTCCGTCACCCTACCAGCGATGGATTTGCTGCAAGAAAGCCCATGAGCTGTTAGTGCTGAATGGCTTATTACTGATCATCACCCCTGATTCCTCCCATCAGAACCGGCACGCTATGATGATGAAGAGCTGGAAGATTGCTATAGAATCCCTGGGCTTTAAGCGCTTCAAGTATTCAAAATTTTCTCACATGCATCTCATGGCTTTTAGGAAAACCTCCCTTAAAACCACAAGTGACTTGGTTAGTAGGAACTACCCAGGGATGTTATATATTCCTCAAGATTTCAACAGTGTAGAAGATGAGGAGTATGCTAACCCTTCCTGCTATGTCCGGTCAGATATAGAAGATGAACAACTAGCATATGGTTTCTCAGAGCTCCCTGATGCTCCTTATGACTCAGATTCTGGAGAAAGTCAAGCCAGCTCTATTCCATTCTATGAGCTAGAAGATCCCATCTTGCTATTAAGTTAATATAAAAGCAAAAAGCCCTTCCATTCCATACTTCTAAACCATATTGCTTACACTAATCTGAATACTAACATGAACTCAGTATTTAAAGCCTGGTTTGCATAGAAGAAATGCAAACATTTAAAGAGTTTGCTATTTTTTTCTACTTCTGGATTTCAAAATTTATTCTTATATAGGAAGCTTAAAGTTTCATGCAGAGTGACTTCGTCTTAGTAGAAACCACTGTTACTTTAGCATTTTGCATTAAGATTTTAAAAGGTACCTCTTTTCTCCTCCGTGCTGTTGTGAAGTCTGAATTACTATGTATGTTCCTTTTCAGTGTAGTGTTGACTTTACATCATTGTCATGAGGAACCTTAAGATGTGTAGAAAGCTGTAGATTGCACTTTGATGACTCACAAGTTAAGTATTTCACACATAGGTTGGTTTAGTTGTTTGTGGTACACTTTTCTTTTTCTTTAAATTGTTACCTATTACAGAAAACATTTTCCCCTCAGTTAAATCTGATGATACAATATTCCTGAATCTTTTTTAAATTGGAGACAACTCTTAATATTAAGCTCATCTTGGAAACATTAGACAAACATTAGACATGAAAGAGAGTTATGTTCTAATTTCATTAATACTGTACAGCAAACACCATTGCCAAAGTAATATTTCCATGACTCCATTGTTGATTTAGGCCTCAGTGTTCTGTCTATTTTACCTGTGAAAGTTCGTTTTTACTTTTTAAAGTTTAGAGTATATTTACAGAATTTTCTGTTTAAGCAAGGAGCAATGTATAATATTCAATACTGACTGAGACCACCTCTGTGAAAGGGTTTGCACTTATAAGAGTATATTCTATTGAGACCAGCTCTGATAGGGTCCTTCCCTGTCCATTAAGGTGGTGCTGCACTACAAGTTTGGAATTCCATTTACCTTTTTGAAATTAACCCTCTACTGATATCTCATAGAATGGTCCTGACCTTTTGGTATCCTAATTTCCTTCTAATCCCTAACAGATAATTTTCTGTGACTATATAAACACTTAGTTGGCTGTGGGAAATTTCCCTTTCCACGTTGATAAATGCCTTTCTGTGTTTCTGAATCAGAAGCAAATGATAAACAAGAAATATATGTCCAAACAAGACAAGTTTAAACAGTTTTAAAAACATATAGTCCACATTGTCTTGTCAGCCAGCAATTGTCATGTAAACTATCATTTTTAAGCGTGCCACTGTGTGGATTTTTTTCAAGTGGTTATTACATTAAAATTACCTCATACTGAGGTGTTTGCACTGAAATATAACAGTTTCAGATTTCATGGTTAATGGTGTGTGTGTGTGTATGTGTATGTGTGTGTGTATGTGTGTGTGTGTGCATGCGTGCGCACATCCATGTGTATTTTTAAAGGAAACTTGCATTTTCAATAGGTAATCCTAAATTTCATAAACTGCACTTCTTTACTCTGGTAAACTGATGTTTTTGTTTTTGTGCTTATTGTGAATTGCTATAGTTAACTTTGAATGTCAAATTTTGTTTAGAAATACATAAACTTACCCTTTAAGATATGTTCATTGTGTATATCCAATATTTCAAGTTCAGTTTCACATGCTAAATTAATGAAAGTAACATGATTATAACTAATTTTAGAAAAGTCAGTTGTGTAAATGCAATAAACATTGGTTGTTCAAATATGCCATAAGTAACTTGAAATTTTTCATTTACTTTCAATAGCATACAGTTCCATAATTACTAGAGTTGATATTTCTTTGCATTTAGGCACTACAGGATAATGTCTTATAGTTCCCTCAAAAGAAAAGACAGATTGAAAAGGCACTGTGTTCAGGATAAAACAAAACTATGTTTTGGTAGCAACCCTCTTACCACACTGTTTGCTTTTACTTACTAATTACAATTTTAAGAGAAAAAAAAAATACACCAAATGAAATTGCTTTGAAAGTAAATGAAACAGTGCTTTGGAAGGGTGGTCTAGGTATGACCTTTGTGATAGTTTCTGTGTTACAGCAAAAATGTTGGTGCTACAAATTCTTGTGATTGTTTACTGACATTGAGTCTGCTTTTTCCAAGGCGTGCATGATGTGTTTTAAGCAGTACTTAAAAAATATCTCTTTCTGAGAACTACTACCACTTAGTATAAATGTTTGATTTTATATCATTTGTTACTGTAAACTTAAGCTTACCCAAATGAGAACTTGCACCAATACATATTCCCCAAGGCCAGTTCAGGGTGTTAAGTGCTGAAATATGAGCAGTGGGTTGGGGCCAGATTATATCAGTAATGACCGGTGAAGTTAGTAGGATCCTTTCAGTATTGTATGGGTACGCTAAAAATTTATTTGGATATGAATACTTTAAGGGACTTCCCATCACATTCACAGCAGTTGCTCCAAAATAACTTGGTATTTCAAAAACAGATGATAATCATGTGCTTGGTTGGGCTCATCGGGATCGTGAACAGATCATGTGGTTTTATCATAGTTGCAAAGTGGTTGGAGGTAGTTTACCTGAAAATGTACGTCTGTGTTTGTTGTATTTTTTCACATTTTGTGAACAAAGCACATTTATTAAAAAATTTAAATTTTCTAATATTCTTTGTCTGTTACTTGTGAACTGAAAGGCTTTTTTAGTTTTTGGAGACGGTTTCTCTGTATAGCCCTGGCTGTCTTGGAACTTGCTGTGTAGAGCAGCCTGACCTTGAACTCAGAGATCCACTTGCTTCTGTCTCCCATGTTCTGGGATTAAAGGCATGTGCCACCATTGCCTGGCAAGGCTTTTGGTCTTAAGTGTGTTTTCCTAAAAAATTTGGAAGCTGAGAAGCAAATTTAGAATTTGACTTTTAGAATTTTGCATCTCATCTAGTCACATCCCTTTGTGTCATAAATTAATTCCTGGACATGCAGAGAGTGTAAGTGACTTCCTGTTAACAAGCTGCCATGTTCTTCATGACAAATAACATTCTCATTAAGTGTATGTCCATATGTCCACTATATGTAATTGAGTCTCAAAGAAAATGAAATGTGATTGCAGTTGTTACGGTTAAGTATATCTGTCCCTTTAATGTCCAGCTTTCTCATGAAAGATTTTTAATTGAATAGTTGTTTGTATTTTACCATGTACAATTGAGAAAGAAGCAGCAGGCATTGAAGTGCTTTAGTCCCTGGCTTTCTTGGAGCTTATAATATAATGGAAAAGTCAAGCATCCCTTATACAATCTTTCTATGTAAGGAATGATTGCTTACAGAGCCTATAGGCTTTCTGCTTATGCTTAGAATCCTTAATTTATTTCCCAGAAGTAGAACAGAAGTTGTAGGGCAGGAGGTTTTAAGCATTCGAATACACACATGCACACAAACACAAAAACTATTCAGCAAATTGCATTGCTCACCGCTGCAGAAAAGCACGAACTAAGTAAAAATTATCTGATTTGTAAAAGGAATAAAAATGCACTGGAGCACTTGTTCATTTCCCACTTTTCTGTGTTCAATGCAGCAGTAACACTCCTCAGGAAGCAGTCAGGGGAGAGTAGACTTAAGGGTTTGGGCTGCGAAGATACCTCAGGGAGAGAAATGTGCTTAGCAGCTTCAATCTCCTGCACTACATGAATACAAAGCCAGTTCTCCTCAGTGTCTCACAATGTCAGAAAACAAAGGTGGAAATGCTAACTTATTTTTCTCAATCATTTCACTCTTAAAGTATCATCTATGATAGTGGAGAAAAATCATGTGACCCACTATGAACCCACTCCCCCACCCCAGCGCGCGGGTACACACACACACACACACACACACACACACACACACACACACACACACACACACACAGTATCAGTCTTAGTTTATTTGTGCCCAGAGAATAAGCATTTTACCATAGCCAGCAATTGCAGTAACTTTTAGGCCCTTGCTATCAATGTTATAAAAGAAGTGTGGTGATACCTTGTTTGCACAAATAAAGCATGTCTGAAGATCAGAGAGTAGAGCTTGCAACTAACCATGGAGGTCTGGAGGTCTTCACAGACAGGAAATGAAATGGCTGGCCAGAGAAAGGAATATAGATAGGAGGAAATAGGAACTTGCTCCCTTTTACACTAGGAAGCTAGTAAAGTGAAGGTGGGTTTGGCTTCTTGTGTCCCTCACCTCTCAGCACTTTCTGGCTCCAGGCTTTTATTGTTGAGACTTATTAGAACTCACATAGAAGTGCTGAGTTTCCTAAACAGTGCTCATGCCTCAGTAGGGAAATGCAAGTTTCAACAACTGGAAAGTATTTTATTTAGCTTAACTTTGATTTGAATGTAGTATCCTTTAATTGAATGCTTTGACCTAAACATGGTTTCACAATTGCAGTAGCTCACTGTGTTTTGAAATTTGTTTTGTTGGGAGTTTTGTTTGTTGTACTTACCTGTTTTGATGAAACACCCTTACTGTGTAGTCTAAGAAGGCCTTAAACTTCCAGAGATTCTCTGTTCCTCGACCTCCTAACTCTTGGAACTGCAGGCATGAGCCACTACACCTGGCTTGTTTGTTTAGACAATATTCCTCTTACTTGTAACTCTACTAATTATTTGTACTTATTAGAAATAGTATTCAACTTAGCTTTATTTTTTAAAGGATTTATTTTTATGTGTATGAGTGTTTGCCCTCATGTATGTATGTAGTATGTACCATGTTCATGCCTGGTGGCCATGGGAGTCTGAAAAGGGCATCCAGTTCCCTGGAGCTGGATTTTCAGACTGTTGTGTTTGTGTTGTAAACTGCTATGTTGTAGGTGCTGGAAACTGAGTAGAAGTAGCAAGCACTCTTAATTACTGAGCATTCTTTATAGCCATGTAGTTTGAATTAAAGGTTTTAGAAATCTGTTTTGAAATACTGTAAAATATTACTTAATGTTCTTACTCTTAATGAAAAGTAATAGATAACCTACTTTTCTTTATACATTCATCATCAAAATTGGGCTACACACACATATATTTAAAATCACTTTTAGGAGTGAAAGCAAATAAAGATAATTTGAAAAATAAAGTTTCTGATACTGGGTCCATTAGCTTCGAATAGGTTCATGTTTTATGTTACTTTGTTGGAATTGGAGACCAGGGCTTTGGCTTCAACAGGTCTAGAAATCAGCATAGGATCAATTTCAGCTTTAGTTCCGTAGTTCATTAGAAGGCCTGGAACTTTGTCTCCAGTGGTGCCTAGAGTTCACAGCAGGGTTTTAGCTCTTGCAATGTGGGAATTCATGGCTTGGCTAGTGATCAGCATGTAGCCATGCCTGCCTTTGTCCTTGCCATCACCCAACCACAACCAGATCATCTCAGCTGACCTATCTAGGAATCAGTTCCACTCTTTACCAGTCTCATTCTGTGAACTTCATGTACAAGTGAATCTCAGTCAGGTGCATAGAATACAACCAAATAGTTTTGGAGAAGGTAGATGTTAAAACTGGAAGACAAACCCAGTCTAACAGATTTCATAAAACACAACAAAGAAGTACAACTACCAGCTATTTCCAAATCCCAACTGCCCTATAATGGAGTCCAAAAGCACAGAGATAGCTGAAGTGTCTGGGACAGAATTCAGAATTTTACTTTGCAAAAGAATTAATGACATACTGAAGAATCAAACAGTTACACAAACTAAGGCAATCCAAGACCTTGACAGGATGATCTCCAAAGTGAATTTTAAACAATAAATTGGAGGTGTGTCCAAA